TAGCCCTAACTTCAAATGACCGAAAAGCGAAGGAAACACGAATAATTAGAGCACTGATTGAAGGCGAAAGGCACAATAAATACTCAAGACGTTCAGGACAAATTCGCATAGCAGGACAGAATTCGGCGCTCCTAAACAGGCGCTGTGTGGCGCCTTTTCCAGGGAAGGTACCCTTATAGCGCTCAAGCTGCAATATACACACCCGGACGCCCACCGCGCCTGCCCTTCCACCAATGTCCGACCGATCCTCATGCTCGAATCGCTCCATTTGCATTATAAAGCAAAGAGGTTGATATGAAGCGACATGCTGCTGTGCTGCAGCCTGCTGTGCTGCATGGATATGTGTGTATATACATGCAGCCGCATCTACCGTAACTGTTATTGGCACGATATCCACGGTAATCGTCCGAAATCGCTTAGTCGTGTAGAGCAAAGCCTTTTTTGGAATCCTGTGGAACAAAGGCTTGTCTGGAATCGTGTAGAAGAAAGGCTTCTTCGAAGGTTTTTGATCGTTCCACTTCTTTTTTTTCGCCACTTTCCCACCATATAGCATCCGTACCATCATTTTAGATTGAGTACCACATAGTCGTGCATACTGACAAGAGTAAGTTTCTGCATATCGCTGCTGTCCGGTCCGTTTTTCTGGTTGTTTTGCGAAATCGCCGCGATTGCCATGAGCGTGTTTATACAGTTCCCGAAAATGGAAGTCATTGTCGAAGGTTTCTATGAACTTTGTATCCCTCTGGCGAAACGTCAAGCACTAGAAGAAGTGAAAGTTGGCCATCTTTCGTCTGATTCCTTTCAAATGATGGATTTCATTTCAGCTATGAAAGCGACAATTTCGATCGACCCGATGTCGGTCCGAATGGAAGTTTTGGTGGGAAAAAGCGTGCAATTGAACGCGTAAGCAAGTCTTGGCGTTAAGGCTAGCTAACATTAAGCATAGCTAACATTACAACATTCGGCTAGCATTAATCGAACTAGTTTGAAGGAATACAATAAACAACAATTCAAAAGTTGCTTTCCTTATTACAGATAAGGAATGAGCCTGTGGTTTTCATTCATGGTAACGGTGACGCTGCATTGCATACTCAGGCCCCCCTGGCGACTGGATGGAGCAGGTGAGCGAGTGTAACAACTTTTCCCTTATCTCAGGGTTAGTGACATAAATTTCCAAGATCTATGCAATACTTTTGGAAGCGCAGAAACTATTAACAAGAAGGTGAACTCTACGCAACCACTTGGGGAGATGCCTGGGGTACCGGCTCGGTACTGGACAGCTACAGCACCATGCACACCTGCAGCAATCTGCTATTCCTTCGAAGGTCACTTTGCATCACGATCACCAATTTTAAAGTAGGCCTTTGCAAAGGGTCCCTTTTCAAAAAAAAATGCCTGCAGTTTAAGCGTTTAGAGGAGGACGGAAGGGTTTCTTTCTTGGGGCCGTTTTCTATGGGATGACTAACAAGTTTTATGACATTTCCATTTTTGAGTTAAATTTCTTCAATCAAAATAGCTATCAATCAACCGAAATATTGGCACAATTTCCAATCTGAACACTTGTTGCAGGGCCATTAGTCCCGTTTTTTTTTGTGTGGATTACCTCTTTTCCAGAAGGTTTCCTAATTTGAGTTGAAAGAAGAGTTAAGGTTGTTTGCGAGGTACTTCTGAGGATCATAACTGCTGCCGGAGGGAAAGGAAGAGATGGTATTTAGAAGGGGCTATACGATCTGTATGGTAGAAGTTCCCAGCCAAACTTCAAGATCTCAAGCTGTGCTATCTTCGGAACATGCGGCTTCGTTGCCATGAAGCAGGCCTACTTTGTCGAGCTGCGGAATGGAATAGCAGATGAAGTATCACGGATTGGTCGATTTCACACACAGTTCTGCCCTCTTTCTGATGGGAATCTAATTGGCCTGGTTCCATTCCGGCCCATGGTTCACTCGCAGAGACCGTTGTCCAACCAGTCTCTTACGACAAGACGGGACAGATAAATGATAAGCAAATCCATGGCATTTCAACTCCTCTAAAATCGTTAACTAAGGTTTAACTTCATGAAGTAACGCAGTGGGACCGAACTGCACATTTTTCCGAAGGGAGGGAGACCCCTCTATACAGCATGCTCTCTGGAAAGAGGCCAGAAGTTCTTCAAGGCAAGAAAGAATATAGATTGCCTTTAGTCAAGAGATTCAACCGGTCCATAATCCCAACACAAGGGCCCCTAATCGTGGGTTTTGTCTTGCAAGTCCACACCACAAGTCACCCTGGAGCCAAGACCGGATCGGATCGTTTCCGAAAACCGTACCTATTACTGACCCAACATTTCAGGGGCCGTCACATCATCGATAGTATATAGCAGCACAGAGGCGAGGTTTTCTGGGGATGCCTTCCTATTTCAGGAAAGTAAGCATACGCCCTCAGGACCTAACGCAAAACAAATGTTCCTAAGTGGCTTGGGTTATATTCTGGCCCAGTTAAAACTCATATAGCAAATCATGATGAATATGCAGTTTCTCATCTGCCATTTTTTTCATGGAAACCGCAGCTAGACTGGTCGGTGGAGCGGCTGTGGTTTGGTTCATACAGGTTACGAAACTGGATTTCGAAATCGCACAGAAAAAATACAAAAAAATTATTCAAAAAATGTCACGACCTTCTGGGACAACTTAACATTTTGGCTCCGTGGGTCCGTGGCAGCACTTCCTACAGCAGAGCTCTGTATTCATCAGAGCTCTGCAGTGTACTAGATTAGAAACGGTTTCTATGCTTTGCCTATCGAGCAGTTTTGGCCCAACAAAACGAGCATTTTAATGGTGCTCAGTTGAAGGTTCATGGAGGCAGTGATACAGTACACTGGCGCCAGGAAAATCGACGTCATCGCACATTCGGTTGGTGTCGTTATGGCCAGGTAGTTTTGAATTCAATTTTGCAGTGGTTGTAGCTGTGAACTACCGGAAAGAACCCATGAAACCACTTCTGGCATATTATTTTACTTGTTTCAGAAAAGCTCTGAAAGGAGGTTCCCTCATCGGAACTGATGGGAACTGCACTCTCGGTCCTCCGCTAACGGCCAAAGTTGACACTTTTGTCGGCATTGCCGGGCCAAATTACGGTGAGACAGCTTTTAAACAACTTTTGCGAGCGCCGAAGAGGCTGACTACCCTGCCAGTCTCATGGGTACAATATAGATAACTTGATTTCGTGTCGCACTTTTGATTACTAATCTCACAACAATGGTCAATTGTAAATCTTCATTCAATACATATCATTAGTCATAATACATTCATACTCCATTCAATTTGAGGGGTATTTTTCGAAGAAGTAGTTCAGTTTCCGTTCCGAAGAGGGTGCAAGACGTACACTCCATATCGGATAGATTTAAGGGACGTGGTGGCGTGCTTCATTTGTACGTAGCGTACGATGTGTTGTAGAATTTTTCCACTCAGAACATTGTTATTTTGTCTTGTGCGCAGCAAAGACGTTATTACAAATGACCTGAAACGAAACTACCCTACCAAAATTCACCTTCGAATTATGTGTGCAGCTGC